CCGCGACTTTGCGAACTTGAAAATTGAATCGCACGTGCCCCGCGGCGAGAGCTCACGGTCGCCGGCGCCGCGGGCCCGAACAAAAACAATCGATCAGCGGAATCGTGCCCGGCAAGTCGAATAACCGTCTCGTAAAATTCGGAATCCTCCGAACGCTCGGACACTCCTGGGAAATCGCCCGTAATAAATCCGCCGGAAGTCGGGAGAATTTGCCTCCGAGTCAATTGGAATGATGAGCTCTCCTTTTCGAGGCGCCGAATTCTCGGTCCGATGAAAATTAAATCTTAGAGGCGGGGAAAGCGCGCGGCGGGACGAGAGGAGAACGCACGCGTATCGCGCGCGGAGCCTCGCACGAAAAATGTGCAACGAAATTTCAAGACGACTCAAATTGGAGGTATAAAGGGCTCTGAATAAACAACGACGACGAATCCCGGCAATCTTTTTCACCGGGGGTTTATTTCATGTCGAGTCGCGACATATTCCGCGATATATTCCACGTTCAATAGTTTTCCGCGCGCAAACGGTTTATTTTCAGCAACAAATATACGCCCGGACGAGAAAGAGAAAAAGAGAGAGAGAGAGAGAGAGAGAGAGAGGGCAAATTGTGGCACGCGCGGACGCGTAGGACCACGCAGCGATGGGACGAAGCGCGAATTCAAACGGTTACCGATCCTCCTTTTCGCCGAGGCATCTCGATACGGAAGGTTAATCGCGGCCTCCGAGGTCGTGACCTTCTCTTCCGTATAGAATTAACCCCTCGCATTCGGAATTGTCCCGCGGCGAGGAGCCTACCGCGCGAGTATTATTCAGCGCGATACATTGCGCGGCGTTAAGTAATCGCGTGATTACGACCCCGTGTGCTTAAGCGATCGCCTACGATCGGCTTCGTCGCGTTCACTTCCGCGGAACGTTCGCCGGGCGGTATTCGAGCGACGTGGATACGCGATCGGAAATAAAATGCTCTTTCAGGTCTCGCGATGAAACACAATACGGTTGAAATGCAGAGGAACGCGGTACGAAGGAGACAGGAAGGGTGGAGAATTTTATATCTTATATTTTTTTAGTCGCGTGTCCGTTTTTTCTCTCGCAAAAGAAATAGATTCTGTGGAATTATCATGAGACCGCGGCCAAGTTGGAATCGAGTTTTGCAAATTTAATATATCGCCGTGGTAGTAAGGGAATTTCTAGGGCGTCTGTTTTTCAAGCGAAAATTGATGCCCGGACGCGACGTCGCGCAAGGAATTACAACGTGAGGTAACGAAACATGATGCAAGCGTGATTCAATTATTAGATCGGACAGCGATTATTCTAATGTCCGCCGATGGCTTTCGACGACGAGAGCCGCTTGTGAATCGATTGAAAATTACAGCTCGGGAATTGGATCGGGCCCATCGCTAGCGCCGGTCGCGAGCCGGAGGGGTCGCGGGGGAGGGCGGGGAGGGAAGAGACGAGAAACACACGTCGGGGAGAAGCACAGCGAGCGAATAAGTGGGGACGACGGAATGAGGCGCGTGGTAGGATGGGGGAAAGAGGGTGCGCGGGGGTTGAGGAGGAATGGTGAGAGAAGGGCGAGATGAGACAAAGACGGAGAGCGAGAAAGGGGATGAGGGGAGGAGGGCGAAAGGGAGGATGGCGCAAGCGAGCGCGCGCGCGAGAGAGAGAGAGAGAGAGAGGAGGGCAGGGAGAGAGAGAGAGAGAGAGAGAGAGAGAGGACAGAAGCCGACCAGTAGAAAGGTTATAGTAGAAGGGAAACTACTATTGGAAGAACTCTCTCGGCCGAGGGTGGGAAGAAGGGCGAAGGGGAGAGACGGGGGGGGGCGAACCGTGGGGTTGGGGGAATATGGACGAATACACAGAGAGCTAAAAGATGAAAGTATAACCCGAGCAACACACAGTGGCTCCCAAAGCCAAATAGAACATTATGTCACGTATAAATAAAGTCGTTTCCGAACTTCGGCCCGATAGATATTGCAACGCCAATAAATTATCTTCCGTTGGCCGCCATATAAAATCGCCCCCCGGGCGTACACGAGGTAAATCACGCTCCGCTTGGCGCGCTGCACAATTACCGAAAGAGTGTGTCTTTCTTACGGCGCGCGGATTTTCACCCGTGTGGAAAATTTATCGGATTATATGGAGTCAGTGAAGCCGTGCACGAGAGCCCGGGGTTCGGGAAACGCGAGAAAAATTATTTTTGTTCCCGTCAAAGCTGAAAGCCTCGAAACAAACTCGTATACATTTACACAATAACGTTACCGTTTCTCCGCGAGGGCACAAAGAGATTAAGGAAACCGGGCGCGTATTTGTTTCAAATGGTCGCCGCCCGTATACTCAAAATACGGACGCGCAGCGCGCAATTATGTATAATGTCGGAAGTAAACAATGAGATAACGCGCCGAATGATCGATAAAATAAACTTGTGTGATACCTAGCAGCGCGCAGCTGTGACGAAGTCATTCGATTACACATGGTATCGTTGAGGTTGCGTAAGCGTTTGAACTCTGCTCGAACGGGCGATAATAATTTATGCGTCTAATGCGGAAAGAGCAGGGGCATACGGGGCAAGTAATAAGTCAAACTTGGCGAAAATGACGTCGCTCTGCAAGCACCGGCGAACAATTAAATTATCGTGGAGGCGGAGCAGATAACGATGCACTCGAGATGCAGCATAAACCACGGTTTATACCGCGTGGATTATGTACATATATAACGCATCACGTAGATAGAGAAAGGAGAGACTATTGCACGCTTGTCTCCCCCCCCCCCTCTCTCTCTCTCTCTCTCTCGCTCTCTCTCGCTCTCTTCCCCTCCCTCGCTCTCTGTCCCTCCTCCCATCCCCGCGACAGTTGCATCTCTCCGCGGAAGCTTTCGTGCGCAAGTTCCTGGTGCTCCCATGGAGAGTCGCTAGCTCTCAATCGAAAATCGGTATAAACACGAAAGCCATGTTACGTAGGTAAATGGGAGCCCTGCCGAGTATTTTACTCACCCCCCCCCCCCCCCCAAGTCCCGTCTGGGCCGTTGAGCGGTTCACACGTCTTCCGACGGAAGATAAAATTTTTGATCCTGCGGGATTGCATCATCCAATAGGGATTGCATCATCCCGCGCGAGGCTCGGTAGTTGGGCCTCTGCATTGCGTGACACGTTAGGAGATTTATATCATCAACTGTAATCTCCACACTATTGCCTATTGGATAGCCATGGCCGTATCGGTTCGCTTAGTGCGACCAAGTGCCAAATAACCGGAGGAAGAAGAAGAAACCTCCCCCCCCACCCGAATCGCGAATTGTGTCTTACGTAATTTTTGCCATCTCTCGCGGTCTCTCGGCGATGATTTATTGCGAATTCGATTGCTCGCGCTAGTGCGCACCGAGGCTCGTTTACAGTCGACTTTTATATTTGACTTCGTCTTAAATACACGTTGAAAAAGTATTAATAAAAAAAAATGATCCGCACGGATGCTTTACGGATCATTTAACTGGCTGAGAAATATTTCAAGAGATATCTAAGGCGAGCCTTTAATAGAAGAATTGACTGGAAACGAGCCTTAGTGTGCGCTCAGTGCGCACCAGTGCAGGCAACCGAACTCGCTATTATTTACGCGTTCGTTGCGTACGGAGTGTACGAAGTATGGTGCAGTGAATAAAAAAATTATTTCTCACGTAAATTGAAAGTCCCATCGACGACCGCGCGCGTTGGTCGTTGCACATTACTGTATTTATAATATATCGATTCTATTAATAGAAATTGGATGTCGGGTTCCGCGATAAAGCGACATTTTGCCGTAATAATTGGATTAAATAATTAAACGTAATATATGGTATAAATACGACACACAGCGATCTTTTCCTCTATTGCGGTTATCATTAATAAGTTATCTGAAAGATAAAGTTCTACTATATATATATATATATTTTTTTTAGTATTTTCTGCGCTGATCATTAGATTATTGACAGCGGTCTGGCAATATACTGTTGATAATAATTCCGACATTTTTTATTTACACGTACATGCGTGTCTTACACGTACGCCGAGATAAAATAATTCATAAATCTGTGGCTTTTTATTGAACTTATTAATACTTTTATATTCAGACTGATTAGAGGAATGTAACATAGCTGGTGTTTTATTTGAAAAATCGAGCTGCTCTTGACACTTTTTTCACGACTTCGCACACAAAAATATTGCCGCTATATCGCGCGCCACAAGGCCGTAAAACCTTACAGTTCCATTTTTCTCTATTATTTAGACGAGTAAAATTAGTTAAGGTACTTGACGCGGTAGAGTACTCTCTATGTGCATGTATTATGCACAGTTTGAGAAAACAAAATAACTCCAACTGCAACGTAGTAGCCAACTGTAACACGACTCTGAAAAGTAGGTACGTGTACCAGTTGAATGAAGTCGTAAAAACGAAAATAGTTTTCAGAAACGAATTATATCATGTAAAATTATAGAAGTCACGAAATATTACGAAATATTGGACATCTCGGCGTTACTTGGACAAGTTTTACACGCCTATGAAATAGTAATGTAATAACGGAATAATTATAATATACAATTATTCGTTACAATATAGGCCTCGTACAACGGGCCGCATATAATAGACCGTGATTACGTTCTTTCGGTTTAAGCAAACATTCCGAGTCAAACATCACGCGGTCATAATAGCGCGTGCTATTTGATACACGTATTCCGTATCAATAATATATTTACCATCAGAAACTTATTTGACGTTGCTATTTTCTTTTTCTAACGCAATTTCACGTGATATTTGATATAATAATACACAGCTAAGATGGCATTTCTCAGCAATTTTCGAATGACACAATTTTTTCCCGGACGCATGTACGTACGTGTATACACTTACACGTTATTGGTTTCGATGAAATTTATCTAGCGAGCAGTATCGTCGCTACAGATAGATGTGTTTGTCACTCGAGCGACTCGACATCGACAATTGACGCAATCCGTATAACGAGAAACGTTCTCTCATTTGCAGGACGAGGTGCTGACGATTTCAGAAAAGGTAGTCGTCCGCGTGCACGACCTAGTCACATGGCTCTCGCCGACGTTGGAGTGGTCGTGGGGCCGGCAAGTGTCCTATCCGACGAGCCCGACGTCGTCCCCGGGGGCCAGCCCGCTCAGATACGAGATGCCGCAGCCGCAGGTGCTTACGGACCCGGGGATCGACTTCTCGGACGTCGAGAAGCAGCAGAAGGAATACGAGTGCAGCGTCAACTCGTCCAAGAAGCCGGACAGCTTTCAGACGAGGGTGGTGGTGCTGTCGTATCCCAGGTACTGCCGCTACCGGGCGCTTCTACGTAGGCTCGAGGGCGCCGAGCCCTCCTGGCTGTGCTCGTCCATCGCGGCCGCGCTCGGGGGATTCACCGCGACGCCGGGCACCAGGGTGCTCTTCTGCAGGGACACATTCGACTACCCGGATCTCGAGACTCACGAGCTGCTGTGTAACCACTTGGGTACGTATGCCGTCTGGTTGTTGGTTTACACCGCGCCACGCGATTCGGCTCGCGAAGCGATTCCGTCTCGATTTGTCGCGTAAAACTGTTTACGCTTGTTTACACAGCGGGCGTCCGGTGAATCGCGACCGGCCCGGTCGGTCGAGAGATCGTTTCCTTTTGTTCTCTCCCCGGCGGGAGGAGAAAACGAATGAAAGACGAGACCGTTTCATCGATCGTGTACCTTTCGAGAGAGAGAAAAACTATTCCGACTGCGGAAACGCTCTTATTGTTCGCGCCAAGTATTATGATGCAGTTAGGGCTCTCGACGTCCAAATCCTTTTTCGCGACGTTTACGCGACCCGACAATGATTTTTCCGCCAAACGCATTTCGCTCCAGGGGCAATAAATTCACGGTAGAGTCAACAGATGATGTCTATTAATTTGGCGGAAACCCCCGCTATACCTCGTATTAGGAGCTTGTCCCCCGACAGGGGGACTTTCCTCTACATATTTAACTCGATGCTGGCGCCTGTGTGTTATTGTGCGTGCGGCTCAACTTCTGAAACGCGCGACCTTAGAGTTTGTTTGCTTGATACTACGAACGTATATTATGTATAATGTCTCGCTACACATAGCGGCGTTATCTATCAGCGCTAAGCACCGCGACGTCATTATTAGCTTTTACTCATCTCGCGAAAGAACCGGCGATGTGCATAGCAATTGCGAAAATACGCTTTTAATACTAGGCGCTCGCGACGATATAATGTCTCAATTACGGTTATTTATTGCCAGCGAGCGCGCTCTAATCAGCGGTATACAATGAAACGCATGGCGCACACACGCGCAGCGAGCGGTTCTCGCATTGGAGATAATTTTTCGCGAAAAATCGCGCGATCTATCACGGGATTTGTCCCGCTCCTTTGTCCCTCGCGACGCGACTCGCTTTCCTTCTGCCGGAAAGATCTTTCGTTCGAGCGTCATTTCACCGTAAATAGTCGACGGCTGCTTCGAAAGGGGGGAAAATTACGGAGCGCCGTACTTTTAATTGCGTACAATGCGGATTTCAGAACGTTTCAATCGGATGCTCGCAATTAATATCCTCCCGTTCGTGCGGACGATGAGTAAACACAAACTGCAATCGATGTCCTTGCAGCTTTTATGGAATAGCTGCAGGTTGATTGGCTGCACATTTCTCGAAACTAGAAACTTGGACCAAGTCCCAGCATCGTGGACACAGGCCTTAACATAAAATAACTTAACACTTTGCAGTGCGTCCACATTTTTTCGTGGTGGCCTAGCTGTAAAAGAACCGAAATCCATGGTCGAAACGTAGCGGCGAGTCCTAAGCATAAAAACTGCCAGATACGGTCAACCAAATCGGATGTTATTTGAAACAAAGTTAAATGTAAAAAGTGACCGTAAACAGGCCTTAGTGTGCACTCGGTGCGCACCGGTGCAGGCTGCAATCGAGTTCGCTGCAAGTTAGAACGGCGGTGGACAAGTCGCGAATCGCGCAAGCTTTAGGGTCTCGCGCGAATTTCCCACAGATATCTATACTATATAACATACTACTGTGATCAAATTGAAAGGTGACTTTGTTTGTAAAATGAAAAACCTTTATTTATTCTTGAAAATCCATTTCGTCCCCTTCAAAATAATCCCCATCGGCTCCAATGCACTTATGCCAACGAAGTTTCCAGTCCTCGAAGCACTTCGCAAATTCTTCCTTCTTTATGGCCTTCAGCTCCTTATCTGCGATTCGGTTTTTATCTTTTCAATCGAGTCAAAACGGTTTCCCCGAAGTGGCCTTTTGAGTTTGTTGAACAGCCAGAAGTCACATGGTGACTAGCACCGTGTGTAGGGTGACCAACCGTCCCGAATTTTTCGGGACATCCCGATTTTCGACTCTCTTTAGAGCTGTCCCGAGAGAACCTTAGGCGGGACGCCATTTGTCCCGATTTTTTACATAATGTAAGATAAATAATATAAAATATAATAATACGTCATATATTCATTAACTAAAATTCATTATAACCTTTATATTTTATGTTCCTGCTTTTATGTTCCGTTGATGATTGTTCTTTCATTTTATTTTAAGAATTTTATTAGTCTAATTTAGATTAATGATTATTTATATTTGAAAAATAGTAAAAGACTATGTTCTGTTAAATGTTCGATGTTGACTAATGATAACCGTGTGACCGCTGTTCAATAAACTCAGCATTGGAGCCGATGGGGATTATTTTGAAGGGGACGAAATGGATTTCCAAGAATAAAAATAAAGGTTTTTCATTTTACAAACAAAGTCACCTTTCAATTTGATCACAGTAGATATCTGTGGAATTTTCTGGCGATAAAAACTCACTCCAGGCGTCGTCGGCAAGAATCACGTGTATGTTAAAGGAGAGAAATGAAGACGCAATATCGTTATCGATCCTCGCGCGACGAGACGTCTCTTTGTGCTCGCCCGATCCTTGGATGGAACACGGGGGGTGAGTACATAGAGATACCGATCGACAAAACACAGCGAGCGAGCGCCTAACGATTGTATGTATGTAGGCGAGCAGTGAACTATATACATACTGGAATGAGTCATCTATAGTTTTGGTTATTGCCGAGAGAAAGGTGCATTGGGTGAATTCTTATTTCCTTCTAGATGATTGGATAATCGCATATAAGTGACGCCCTTTTTCTCGTCATTTATATGCGACTATCCAATTAGGTAGTACTAGAAGGAGACAAGGATTCCCCCAAACGCACCTCTTTCTCGGCAACAGCCAGAACAGTAGTGAGTAGATCACTCATTCCAGTGTATGTGTAAAGTTCACTGGTGCGAGAGTGACGAGGCGAAAAAAGAAAAGAAAAGAAACAGTTTGTGGCTACGTCGCAGTTTCGTCGAGGCCGCGCGGAAACGATCTCGAAGGATCAGTCGCGACGAGATACAGACGAGATACAGTCGAATCGAGCCTGGATCCCAGTTCTATCGTGAAACGTCGCAGTTTTCCCGACGCACCGCGCGCGATCGCGCTCGTGAATCGACGTTACCGCGTGCGTTCGTTCGCGAATCGGCCGATCGAAAAATCAGCACGTCGACACGCTCGAAAATCGTGCCTCCCCCGGTGGGGTTAGTCGTTGCCTCTCGCCGTCCGATCCCGACTCGGGGCGGCCGCGATCGAATTGTGGCTTTTCGCTTTTCGCGATCCAAGTACGGGGAGGGGCGGGGGAGGGCCTCGTTTTTTCTCGTCGGTCTCGCGAGCCGGTTCGGATCGCGCGTGATATCCGCCCGTCGCTCGAACTCGGGCGGGCGCGACGCAGCGAGGTATTGTGTTGCGCGACGGGCGGGCGGTAGTGCAAATTGTACGGCCCGACGGACCTGTGTACCACGCACGCACGCACAATTCGTCGCCGCCGCCGCTGGCACGCGAATCGCGGAAAATCGTCGCCCCGCGGAAGCGGGACCGATTAGCAGTCGCCGGACGACTGGAAGAGGCGAGTCCGCGGCTCACCGGTGCAGCGACCGACACCCGGCTCTGTCGCCCGCTCGCAGCGTCCGGCAGCGGGAAAAAAACTGTCGCCCGAGAACGGTCGCCGATTGTCACGCGGCCGCCGATCAGCCTGTAATCGTGAGTGTCCGACGGCGAGTTTCGTGACGCGGCCGAATGGCTATTGTGATGAGAATTCGGAAGAATGAAGTGGTTTATCTAAGTATTCCTGGTAAGAGAGAGAGAGAGAGAGAGAGAGAGAATTTGTAGACTTGTAGGGTGAGGTGACCATGCGGATCAACTAGAGACCCTGTAATCAGAGACTGGCCGTAAGAGAATCCGTTAAATTCCCGCAAGTGAGAGAGAAACGTAGGCTGTCTCATTTTTTTCTACGATCGCACGAGAGATAGCCTATGATTCTCTCTCACTCGCGGGAATTCGACGAGCTCTTCCTATATGGCCAGTCTCTGAATACGGGGTCTCTAGGATCAACAACTGATAAGCGACGTGAAAGCACGTCGATGCCTTTCACGGCATCGACAATACAGCTAGGGTGACCAACTCTTAAACATTTAATTTCGGGACATCAGTTTCCGAAAATCGGGACAGAACAAAAAACAATCGGGACTTTTATTAGTACATCAGATTACCTTGTAATATGCATGTACATGTCCCTTCTTGTTTATTTTACATATATGATAGATCTTGACATATTATTTTTTTAAAATAGGTACACAGAGAGAACGGTTTCTTTGGATTTAGTATTCCTATTTATTTGGTTGAAATTTGTTTCATTGAAACAATATATGCTTATACGAAACATTATATGTTTTGAATAAGAATTTTGTTGTTTTATTCAAACAACCTGTATTATTTGATAGAAAAAACACTATTATTTGAAGTAATATCTTTCAATGAAATAATTATATTATTTGGCCAGGCGCTTATAAAGCTTCGGTGCTGCCACTAGATGGCCGCCGAACTCGTAAGTAAAATCGCGGCAGCTATGATATACAAATAAGCGACCGCATCAGCAGACGCAGTCTAAGCATTTAATGGTCTATTTTTTATTATGGCTGAACATAGTGTACTAATTCAGTGTTTATCTTTCTTCTTTTAATGAAGGGAAAATTCTAATGTAGAGGGAGAAAGATGTATGCATATACATTTGTTTCACATATTTTCTATCAAACGATAATGCTGTTTGAATGAAACAATAATATCGTTTAGATTAAAGAGAATATTCCTTTCGTTTCAAACAAATCTTTTATTTGAAGTAAAGCTATTTATTATTTGAAAGGTCAGATAATCATATTTGTTGAACCAACAATTGGTTTGTTTGGACTATTCCAAAAGATAAATTTCTTTGAATCTAATAAAATTTATTAAATTCAAAGGAACCGTTCTCTCTGTGATAAATTAGATACACGTAGATAAGGCGAATGTCTCTTCATTATTAAGTCAACATCGAACATTCGACAGAACATACTTAGTCTTTTACTATTTTTCAAATGTAAATAATCATTAATCTAAATTAGACTAATAAAATTCTTAAAAATAAAATGAAAGAACAATCATCAATGGAACATAAAAGCAGGAACATAAAATATAAAGGTTATAATGAATTTTAGTTAATAAACATATGACGTATTATTATATTTTATATTATTTATCTTACATTATGTAAAAAATCGGGACAAATGGCGTCCCGCCTAAGGTTCTCTCGGGACAGCTCTAAAGAGAGTCGAAAATCGGGATGTCCCGAAAAATTCGGGACGGTTGGTCACCCTAAATACAGCGCAAAGTTGCGAGTGTGTAAAAGAACAAGATTGAGTGTTAATTGCTTCAAAGTGCCACTCATTGTCGACGCGAATTTTTCGCCCGCACTCGGTCGCCCTACCCCGAGGAATTGTGTAAAAAAAAACAACAACCCCCCCCCCCCCCAAAAACCCGCGGATCTTGTTGGTCGCGCGGATCGATTCCGGTCGAGAGCGCGCACGTGTCGCGCGCGCACACACGTGTTGCCGTGCGCGATGCACGTTGCGTTTTAGCATCGGGGGATCAAGTCGAAACGGCCGGCGCGGATCGCGGCCGGTGGGACTTTTTTTGCGTGGCATCTTTTTCCCCTCCCTTTTCCGGGAAGCGTACGACCGCCCGCGGTTTCGCTGCCGAGTGCGCAATTGTTGCGCGATTTTGTAACCAATTGTTATCGCGCGTGAACGCGCACACATATCGATACGGGGCCTCGATAGCTCCGATCTCGTGCTTCCGCGAATATCGCCCGCGGACGGCCGCGACGTTTCGTGAATGAACGGACGAAGGGGGGGAGGGGGAAACCGCGCGCCACGCAATTGGATCCTGCGACACGAATTTTGTTACGAGGACCGTCGGTTAAATTGAAGTTGAGAATGGCCGGACGTTGTAGATCGCGTTACTACGAAGTTACCGCGACGTCCGTGTCGGTCTGTTTATCGACAACATTGTCCCGCATCGGAATAAATAAATACCCACCCGACCTTGTAATCTACTACGACTACGAGGTGTCAACAGGTCACGCGCGCCCGTTGTGTTGACGTGCCTCTTACTATCGTGCTTACGACGGCAGTGCCTGAAACGGTTGTCCTGCGTGAATTCATTTCACGCTCGCCTCAGCTCGTCGCGTGCATCCGCGCAATTACAAGTATTTTTTTTTTCTATCGTAGAAGAGGCATCAATCCCGCGAAAGCTTTTTCTACCGCATACGCGACGCGGCGTGCAACACGAGAGCTTTTCGGTCGGCACGTGTTTAGGGTGACCAACCGTCCCGAATTTCTCGGGACATCCCGATTTTCGACTCTCTTTAGAGCTGTCCCGAGAGAACCTTAGACGGGACGCCATTTGTCCCGATTTTTTACATAATGTAAGATAAATAATATAAAATATAATAATACGTCATATATTCATTAACTAAAATTCATTATAACCTTTATATTTTATGTTCCTGCTTTTATGTTCCATTAATGATTGTTCTTTCATTTTATTTTAAGAATTTTATTAGTCTAATTTATAATAGATTAATGATTATTTATATTTGAAAAATAGTAAAAGACTATGCTCTGTCGAATGTTCGATGTTGACTTAATAATGAAGAAGCATTTGCCTTATCTACGTGTATCTAATTTATTTAACATACCTATTTAAAAAAAAAATATGTCAAGATACGAGTATATCACGTATGTAAAATAAACAAGAAGGGACATGTACATGCATATTACAAGGTAATCTGATGTACTAATAATAGTCCCGATTTTTTTTGTTCTGTCCCGATTTTCGGAAACTGATGTCCCGAAATTAAATGTTTAAGAGTTGGTCACCCTACACGTGTTTCTCTCTTTTCGAACGCAAAGTTATTCGGTTTGCCGTCGAAGAGACGAGACCAAGGCTGCGTTCCGCTAGTCACTGTCGGGGAAATCTATGGTTGACGTCGGGTGTACTGTAGTACATTTTCAGAGAGCAAATGTCGGAGGGCGCAGCCCAAAGCGGGTCGATAACATTTTGCGATTTCGCCAGTCTCTTGGCCGTTTCATAATTAATTTCTTACGACTGTCAGCGACGGATATTCAAATGACGAGGATAACGTTTGGACTCTTTTTGTTTTCAATATAGATATTAGCAATATGCAAACGATACCGGGTCTGACGCGACGACTGAGCAATACGCTTGTGATTTTTCAGCACCGAAGCTAAAGGGCAGACCACGAAGGAAGCGCAAAAAGCGCAGCGCCTCGCCGGGCGAATCCTCCAACGAGAGCGAGGCCTCAGTGGCGTCGACGTCGAAGAGCACGTCGGCGATCACCAGCCTGGTGATACCCACGGTCGGCAGGCCGCCCTCGTCCGGGGTACGGCGGAGCGAGAGGAAGACCAGCGCGGAAGAGAAGAAGTTTATCACCGACGTGCAGAGTTTTATGAACTCTCGGGGTACGCCGGTCGGAAAGATGCCACTGCTGGGCTACAGGCAGAGTCAGTATCTTGTTATTTTTCCCTCGGATTTCCTATCTGATGACCGGTCTCGCCACCGGAAGGGCAAACCGATTTCTCTCAGTCTTTTTATTTTTTTTATTTTTTTTCCCCCCTTTCCAATTTCTATCCGCGCAATCCCGGCGGCGATTTGGCCGCCAGACTGCAGAGAGCTAAGACACAGCAGGGTTTCCTTCTCGCAAAACTCACGATCACCGTCGATCCCGTATTTGCGATTTTAACGGTCCCGTGTTTTTCTCTCGTCTTCGCAGTCGATCTGTTCCTGTTCTACACGAAGGTGCAGATGCTCGGTGGTTACGACTCCGTCAGCGCTGGCCGCCTTTGGAAGACCATCTACGACGACATCGGTGGCAACACGGGGTCCACTAGTGCGGCGACCATTACGCGTAGACATTATGAAAGGTGAAGCATTTCAGCGGATTCCTATCGCGATTGTCCTTACTTGAACGCTAACGTATTTGCACGGATGATTTTTCTACACATTGTCCAGGTTGCGTTTAAATTACAACAAGATTTCGTTGCAGATTATTATTACCATATGAGAGATATCAGCGAGGCGAGGAGACAAAAGTGAGATTGAATCACGGACGACGTACCAAGAGTATGAGTATGTCCGAGGATTTAGATATCAAGGAGGAACCAAGCGACCTGTACATGTCCGAGACACCTCCGCCTGTAGATGCAATTCCTGCGACGACGACACCGCCCTTACAACCAATAATGTCAGCGACAACGGTAAGTGGCACTAATTCAATTGACGTGACGCCGCGCGTATTTAACCCAGCTCGGATTATTCATGCCGTATGCTTTCCGCTTGCAGACTTTACTCTCGAGTGAGAAACCCAAAGCCGAGACCGGCAAGACGTCCTCGTTACGTAGCGTGCGAGTCAAGCCGGAACGCCTCAAGTCCTTGAATACAATAATCGCCAATAACGCGACACCTTCCAGCCAGCAAGCTAGCCAACTGCCAAGTCCACCGCCATCCTCCAATACATCTATCTCAACGCCCAACAGCACACCCTCCACAACGCCGACGAATGGTACCAGTAACAATCAGAGTGTCTTGGAGAGGCAGCTCAACAGTCCTTTGATATCCCAACAAGTTCCACCATCGTGTTCGCCAGGCTTGCCCGTGGCTAGTGTAGCGACAAACGCGTCGACGGTTGTCACCCTAACGCCTCCGCCTGAGAAGGATATGAAGGAGATCAAGTTGGATCCCAAGCAGACGACTCTACTGGCGCAGGGCAAGGAAAATATACCACTGTTCGGCGCCGAGAAATTCGCGGAGAAGACGATACCGCCGGTCTCCAGATCGCCCGAGGTGATTGACCTTGAAAACGAGAGCGACACGAGTCGAGACAAGATAATCATTCCCAGCTTCAAGAAACGCAAGCTCGAAATTCTGCGCGAGGGCGGTCTTGAAGTCACCGCCGTCGATCTGGAAGCGCGACCGAGCGTGATTCAGAGTAACATCGCCGTGTCGCCGCAACAGCAGCAGCACCAGCAACAGCCTCAGCCTCCGCCAGTTACAATGAAGTCCACTGAAGAGAAGCAACCGTCGATCTCACCGTATCCGCTTCCAGTCACGCCCAATTCCATTCCTAAGTTGATATCCGTCACCGTGACGCCCGACATAGGACACATGTTGCCGTCGCCGCATGAACATCATAATCATCAGCCGCGAATACCGACGGTCAAGCAGTTACCCGCTCATCACAACAACAACAACAACATCAGTATGATGAACAATAACGTGACGAACAGTCGGGTGATAAATCTCGGTAGCTCGAACAATGCCGCGCTGTTGCAGTTGTACGCGAGCGCGAACGTCGTACCATCGACGATCCCGTCTGCGACGTCTGCGCAGCACCCCAACTATCGTTTCGTTCGGCCAAATATTCCAAATGGCAGGTTAATACCGCCGAAGGTGACGCAGTCCAAGTCGATATTTATGCACAACGAAAGAACGGTTTACGGAAATCCCAAGGATATTCTTATCTCTCCACCGAAATATCGCGCGTCGCATCCACATCCGCATTCGCATCCGCATCCGCATCAGCAACCGCATCAACAGTCGCATCAGCAACCGCATCAACAGTCGCATCAGCAGCCGCATCAACAGCAGCAACAACAATGCTCGCAACATCCGCAAATGAGCTCTAGCAACGACATCGGACAAGCGGGTGTTCTCGACCTGACGCAAAAGTCTAACGAGAAACCGACGTTCCCTAGGCCCAGTCTAGAAATAGTCAGAGTACCTGTAGTACAGAGGCCTAATCCGTTAAATCTGGACGTGCGGAATTCACCCGCCAAGGACAAATCGTTGGACAGGCCTGTCGCCGACTGTCCAAAGCGAGTACCCTTCCCCGCCTATCAAAATGTAATCGACAGTCGAACTATCGCGTCGAACAACCTCGAAATTACGTTAGTAAATCCCAAGCACAAAAACAATCATCACCTCATACCGTCTCATGTCCAAATACCAAGTCCACCTAATAAAAGCAGTGCAATAGGGACGATAGGCAACGCGCAAAGGAGGCAGCATCAGCCGCAGCAACAAGTGAATGGCAAGTATACGGTGAGAAGCGAGCCGGTTTCGCCATACACACCGAGGAAGCCAAGCCATCCCATTATACCGAACGTACCCAATTTGAATCATCTGAATCACAGTGGAAGTTCGTTTCCCCGAATGCAAGCAACGACGTTACAGCAACAACAACAACAAATGAGCATTGACAGGAGGAAAGCGGTCGCGGAGGCCGGCAGGGATCATCAACATCGTAGAATCAGCGAGGGCGAGAAATCATCTTTGGCAGTGCAACAGCAACAGCAGCAGCAGCAGCAGCAGCATCAGGAATCCAGGCAGAGCGAGGTCGGGCGACGACACAGTTTACCCAACATACCATCGGGTTTCGTGCCGACGGTACCGCAAAACAACTCTACCGCTTTTCCGTTGCCGCAACTGCCAAACGCGTCCGACAAGTTCCTACCAATTCTGAACCCCATGTACTACTCCACGTTCTATAACGGTTTGCTCCCACCGCCGATTCCGCCCACGGCCGCCGCAGCTGCTGCCGCCGCCGCGTCGTCGTCGTTTTTATTGCCGGAATTTAACGCGTATTACAAGGAAATATTCGCTCCCTCGCAACCAAGACTGACGGGGATGATGGGGCAGCCGCCGCATCAACAGCCGGCCGCCCCAACGTCTAAGTAGACAATGGGATCTCAACATGTAGGGTTTCCGGCATAGCGAAAGATACTTTGATTACTAGAGAGACAAGGATCCGTCGGACTTCTTCGCTGTCGATATGAATGCCAGCGAGTGAAGCGATATAACGATAAGAGTGATGCAGTTCAAATTATATCTACGTTCAGTTATGTTGTTTTTATTCGGTTTAAGCATCAACAAGACGAAATTATTTACGCTGTTCGTTTCACGGTAGAACAATGATAATCCCGCAGAGTCTCGCGTAAATATAGAATAAAATATCAGTCAGACTAACGCGCATTTCAAACGAAGATATATTTTTCAAAGTTACGTCACACGTTTTATGTAACTACTAATATTTCTGTAATTAGAAATATTTATAATGCATCTGAGATGCAACAGCATGTTGACTTCGCTGCCCGCTTGACATTTCGTTGACGTTCGAAATCAGAGGCGTAGATTTAATAGAATTAATATTAATGACACGCGTCATGTCCAGAGAATGTGCGATTATATATTACAAGTACATAACACTGCAAATTCTGCCTTCAAACTGACTTCTCGGATTCGTCCATGCACGAGACTCTGGAGGATTATCGATATTAAGAAGAAAAATCCCTGTGATAAAAGTGCTACAAGTGTAATGTATTCAAGGAGACGCAGTCGACGGAATCCACAGAAAATCGTTATTTTTATATGTTTATTTTATATGAATTGTTTACGCGCGTTTTTTTTAGTTTTCAATGTTACGAGACAAAATATTCCGATTCGGAAGCTCGCGCCGTCCACGGCCGTGGCCGAGGCTACCGATCGTTCCCGTTCTCCGAGCTCTTTCTCTCTCTATCTCTCTCTCGAGGAGAGTGGTTATTTTTTTTCCTTCGCACGTTCAAAATACGTAATTTCAGAGTGCCGTTAATTTCGGTCCGTTCTTTCATTTACCGTTCTCGTTTCGCAAGCGCACATTTTGATTTATTTTCGAATGCACCATGTGATAAAAGCCCGATGCGAAGGGTGGGTGGACAACGGCGAACACTTGGCCGGCGGATCATCGGAGTGTATAATTGTTTACTGTGTGTAACGGGGTAAATCTTATGTAGTAACGCTCGCGAAAACCCTATGTACTGTATAAGCTAGACAATTTTCATTATTATAATAATATTAATAATAAGATGAAACACTCGTACACAATCACATACACCGCTCTGTAGTCACCTCTAACGATATAAGCGCACGCATGCAATGTTATAGCAGCGACATGTATATAATGTATATAATCACGTAAATCATTAAGCTAGACAAATCCTACATTATCTTTCAACATTACGTAAGGGAAGTTAAGTTTAGTAAGTGTACACAGACTGTCTTTGCTCGTGTGGCCAACGATTGTCGTATCGCTGCCTCCTTACGGGGAGACGAAAACGATATTTTGCAGAAACATTTCCGATGGTCTCTTTTTTCGCTCGGATGACACTTGTGACGATCCTTCGTTTTCCAACGCCGCGTGTCCGGCGCGCGGGAGCGCGACAAGTGTAAACCCCTCGGCTTTTTTTTTTATCTCGGTGAAAGGCAAAACGGAACCGCAACGCGCGCTCGACCGATTGTTACGCGATCGCTTACGCAAAACGTGATCGAACATCGCGGGCCACCACAATACTATTTGAGAACAGATTTAAACAAAAATTTACCGACGGTATATCCATGTTAAATGTAGACATATTGATAGAATTTGTTCGTTTTAGGATACTCTGATCAAAAAAAAAAAGATACTAATAAATATGAGAGTAACGTTAAAGCATTCGTAACCCTAAGACGTGCAGGAGGAGGAAAGGTCCGTTTCCGGATCGTTCTGGCGAAAAAAAAGAAAATCAGATTTCTATATCGATGTCTTTCAAGAGTAATGAATTGTTCACGTTTTTTCGGATGGTTCTTTCGTGATAACAAAGGCGTTCCGGCGCCGATTAGCGAGACCGCGGCTGATTAAACAATAAGCCTTCCAGTGGTATTCAACGGGTAGGGGGGGGGGACAGGATTCGTCGAGGAGGAACAGCTAGTGCGAGAGGACACGGGACGACGCGAAACCGCTTACCACTGTTATTATTTTTGTAAGACCGCGGCTGACTTCCGGCGACCCGGGCGCGTCGCGACCGCACGCCGTCGCGTCGCGTCGCTTTTCGACTTGGTGCTATGCGACGAAAAATTCTATTGTAAGGTCCTTTTCGAAAATTTTAACGGGCGTTGTTGGGTACCAGTGGATCTCTGGCGCGATCGCCCGAAAGAACTATACACACACACACACACACACACAGACACACACGTACACACAATCTTAAGATAGATCTTCACGTCCAAGTCTGATAAACGTATACAGAAACGAGAAGTTGAGGAGACTCCACGGGTTCTAGCGTATGTGTAAAGAAAGGAGGTAGTCGAGTACACGGATCCGCCATGATTCGGTGTAACATCGCGGGGTTCGTACGGGAAAGCGAGGGAAGCGAGCGGCGAGGCGGACGTTGCCGGGTCTCCGCCTGGAGGGAAAGGCGCTTTTACGAGAATACGTGCCATAAAAAAAAAGAAAAACTGATTAGATAGCGACTACGAGATCGAGCGGCGACGACGGTCATTTGTACGTGCTCTCGACGAGCCCCTCGTACGGTTCGAGAGACTAGGAAGGTAGACGCGAGTCGAGGGGGAGACGAGAGGATGAGAATAATAACAATGTGCAAAGAATTCCACGTGGAAGATTTTATATGATTTTTCAGTTTATAATTCTGTTACCGCGATTATTTTGTAAGTCTCGAGTCCTTTTTTTTTTTTTTTTAGCGCGCGCGTGCGAGTGTAAACGGGAGAAAACGTGTGTGCCGATGAGCGAGTGAGTGAGTCGTGCGAGAATCTTTGGAGAGTGTTTCGAGGACGAGTCTACGATTGTTTTCGTTTTCTTTTTTATTTTCCTCTGCGAGTTTTCATTTTGTATACCTAGTAGCGCGATTTTAGCATAACCCTCGTTTTTTCCCACTTTAATAATAGTAATTATTACGATACAAAATATTTTTTATTATATGGGCATTTCAGTTCCTAAGTTGGAAATAAAATATCTACTACAAACGCGGGCCTTCTTATTGCACACCATGCGAGCTATCCGCGCGATCGTAGCAACGGATCTTTAAATTTACATCTTTCCCAGGAGTAGCCGAAAGGTGCACTTGCAGATTTTGATTCCGAGGAGACGCCTGCCTCCCTTGCGATAGATATTTAATTAAAATAAACCCCTTCGTGAATTGATCATTTCCCAAATCCTTGGATCTCTTTAATAATTTACAATGTTCTCGCTGATAATATACGGAGAGATTTATTGTACGTTGAAAAGCATAGCAATAATTAAAACGATCTTTCTCCCCAAGGGCGTCCGCAGGATCTTTTTCGTGGAAGAGCACGGTTTAAACGTTCAAGATTAAAACACTTGTCAATTCAAATTTATACACCTTTTGGCATATAAATCTCTCTATCAAAGGAAGAGCAAATGTTTAACTTTTTGCTAATTGAGGGCAGGACGGAACAAATGCCCGTTCGCTGTGGACGCCTCCGTTTCTCCCTCTCTCTTAATAATAATATTCCCTGCTGCTAATTTCAATTGTAGCTCAGATATTGGTAATTACATGCGCATGTAATTATTAGAGTCGTGAATGCTAATTGCTCGCTGCGCGCAGGACGGAGCGTCCGAGTTTCGACGTCGCGCGAGGCCTGGGATCGCGGATGGGATCAGTAAGAAATTAAGATGCCGATATGGGAGTTTTAGTCATGGGAAAGTATACGGGCTTCCCCACGGATACGCTCGTCGTAATCGAGGGGCCGCCTCCCATTGGTCCGGCCGTCAGCGCGCGGCGTTATGAACTCGGCAAAACGACTGAAAAACGAAGGAAAAAGGGCCGCGAAGCACCGCGGCGCGGAATGCACCGGGGCACATGTGCCGCGAAATTTAAAATCTCTTTACGGCAGCCATAAACCGATAACCTGTTTAACCAGTCCGGCGACGGCGGACCGCGCGGACATTTTACCTTCGCAAAATCATTTCTATTCCGTTTTTTCGCCGGCCGCGTTCCGCCGTTTTCCTCTTTTTTCCCCCCGTCCCCTCCGCCCCTTCCCCGCCGGGACGGTCGACTTCTTTGTTTTGCGCGTCGTTATCTCGAAGTTACGAGCCCGCGCAATTTCGCTGAGGAGTCGCGCCGGGCCGAGAAACGATCGCTTTTCGATTCATTCGTTTAATATATTAAAAAGAAACGCAGTAAGTAATGCACGCAAAGTCTATAACGCGCCTCGTCTCATCCAAGTGTCGCGATTAAAGAGCGAGTAAATGGCGCCTTTCCGTCGTGAGACAAGAGTAAGGGCCTGACCAGAATGGCCGTCTTGTATTCCTAAGTCGCAAGACAGTTAGTGTGCGTTACTCTGAAGCCTAATCTACAATTAATAATAATATTTCGTGTTTTTTGTATCTCAGATGTTGGTAATTTACATGCGTGTGATTATTAGAATCGTGAATGCTAATTGCTCGCTGCGCGCAGGGTGGAGCGTCCAAGTTCGTTTTCTGCGTCTAGAAACATTCTATTTTCTATAAGCAAATCAAAACGCTGAAAAAATTTGCCAACGGTGTACGATTGTACAGTGTACAATTTATCAACTTGCACAAAGTTTTTAAACGTATTTATTGGCTATGAAATAAAATGTTTCTAGACGCAGGGAGCACGATACCACTTTTCCTACTGGATTGCTCACGAGAACCAGTAAGGCTGCAGAGTTTCAGAGCAGGTGACTCGAGGCTAAATCCTGGTTGGCTCTCGTAAGCAATCCAGGAGGAAAAATAGTAACGTGTGCCGTTGGCTTTAGACAAGGCCCAGATAGCACACACAGTTCTAGGAATATTCTTCTGGAGTGCAAATATTCTTAATCTCAGAATATTTCAATCGAATATTCTATAAACGTATATAGATTATTACAATTATTATCTGGGAGATTCAAAGCAGAAAACATTGTCCTAAGAGTACAAGACAGTCTGCTCGGGCCCCAGAAAATGGGCCTAGACAAGCGAATCGCATCTCTCCCTTTCGACTTGTACCGACCTCCGGCTTGCTCCAATAGTCAAAGTACACGCGCACGCCGGGTGTCAAACCTCGTATGTACGCGTACGGGCGCTCGCGTGCACGCGGAGCGACGATCCGGGCGGTGGGGGCGAAATCGTGTTTACCTCTCCATTCACCGCCAGTGACAATCGGTAAACACGCGGTCGCTGTAGTATTGTCGCGCACCGGCCGCATGCCAAACCGCCCCTATGTATACACTGTCGCAGTTGCGCCCGCATTCGTCAACCGGGAGTCCGCGGGTCTCCATCGTCGTCGTCGTCGTCGCCGAGACGAAGACGAGCCGATGGCGCCTTAATTTCTTCGCCGATACCGTCCGGGACGACCGAACTTGCGCGGGTGGCCGAGAGCCGCCTGGGTGGTCGCGGCCGATCGTGGGTGACGTCGCGCGGAAGGGTTTATTTACGTAATCGCGCCCGCGCTCCGCCGCACGCACGATCGGCCGCGGCCGCGATTGTTAACCCGGCGCAAACGTGCCCGCCGCGCGTCCATCGGATTATACGACGCGCGTTCTTTTCGTCGCGCTCAAAAGGGATTAACGACGTGAACTTATGCGAGCCCGCGTTCCTGCGTCGCTCTCTTAACCGCGGTATGTAGCACGCGACGCGGGTCTCTCGCGAGAGACGGATGCGTAAAGGCCTGTGTCCACGATGCTAGAACTTGGTCCAAGTTCTACTCGTAGTTTCGAGAAACTAGAGCAGCTATTCCATAAAAGCTGCAAGGTGATTGGCTCCGCATTTCTCGAAACTAGAACTTGGACCAAGTTCTAGCATCGTGGACATTGGCCTTTAGGCCTGGTCTACAATGAATTGTTGGTCGTTAGTCAGAAGTCGGAACTGTATGTTGATTCTTTTCCCTTCTGGGTGGAAGAACAAGGACCGACATACAGTTCTGACTGACGACTGACGACTGACAACTCATTGTAGACCGGGCCTAACAGTCCCGAGAGCGTATAGTCTCCCGGGGAAAATAAAACAAGTCGAAATATCGAGACCAAGGAGCGAGGTTGCGCGAGTACAAGCGGCGGCGTTTCGAATGCAAATACCAAAGCGATTATTGAAGGTGCACTTGCCAGCGAGGCCCGGTTTTTCCATCTTCCGGTTAACTGTTAACCAGAAGCAGGGTCGGGAAGTAACTCATTTACTTGTAACGAAGTTACAGTCGCTCAAAAAGCAACGACTCGTTACTCTGCAGTTACTTGCATGCGATGAAAATTTAAGTATCAAATCTGCATTTGGATTGTAAAGCGTCGATAAAGGCGTTTATGTGCAAATGCAGGGCCTGATGCAATATGTGGAGGTTTAAAAAAATATATATAAAGTAACTATTAATGTAACTGAGTTAAGTTACAGATGGAGAGAAAGTAACGGAGTTAAAAGAAAAGTAACTGCAACTGTAACTTCGTTACAAGTAACGAGTTACCTCCCAACCCTGGATTTAATCTTATCAATCTCGCACATACGCGGGAATACATGTATAAAGAAGAATAACCCACCCGAATTTTGACAAATGAAAAGAAATCAAATTATTTCGTTTATCGCCTTACATAATCCATCAGAGTGGCCAATGCTGACCACTTACTTCGTCGTATCCAGTCTCCATCGTTGGGCCAGATTGGACATACCTTTCGTTGCTCCCGGCCAAAAAGTCTGGTCATTTTGACCAGAGATCAGGAAGGAAAAAGAACTCCTTCCATAGTCGGTTTGTTATCGTCACCGACAGATGTTACGTACGATTTTAATGACATGCGAGCGTCGATCGTATCGAAAAATCGCGCGACTACGAGATGTTAATTAAGACAGAATTTTAAGTCGAAAAAATTTACTGCACAAAACTAATGAAATACATTTCTGCTTCCGCTATTTACTCGAGAGTATTGATCTTTAAATTCAAAACTCAAGTCTATACACAGAGAACATTTTACTTCGCGTTGTATTAATTTTAATTATGTCCCGCGATAAATCAACATTTCCAATATGGATAAAATTGAGAAAATTACTAATAAGTATCATGGAAATGTGTTTAAAAACCGATCGCGGATGTATGGAAGATGCGTATGATTACACACAGAAAAATATTATTGTACAGTGAAGAAAAGTAATTACTCAGTTTATTTTATTCCGTTTAAGTAATAGTTTGCTTCAACAAAGAATATTTTCTTAATAATAGTTTTAAGATATACTTGTTACTCGTCTTAGAAAAGCTTGCCATCTTATACTCAAAGAATTTATTGTTCTTTGAAGAAAATTATAAAACTTATTGAAGAATTCCGTATGCTTCTTTTAATAAAATCAGAGGAAGCAAAATTGTTTTGCTTCAAATAATTCTATGTATTCTTGTTTCAAGTACTAGACTTAGGCCAGAATATGTTTTGAGTAAATGTAACACTTGCGACGACATTATGATAGATTTGCGGATATGCAAACTTATCAAATACTTGGAACAAATAACATTTACTTGCAGGTAGTATATATTTTTCTGTGTGTATACATGTCGTTCATGCGACACGCATCTTGAAAGTGTCGCGAAATGCACCAAATAAATGACGTGAGATCCAGAATTAAAGAACTTTCTCGTATGATAGAGAGTGATATTGTAATTGGATATTATAGCTGATCAATAACTGCCAATAATGTGTAATAATAATTTAATATTTCAGCGTTCTCGACGGAACATTTAGGATCTCACGTCGGATTATTTTACCTTACCTGTCAATACGTTGATAAAAAATGGATAGATTACAAGATAGATTACTACTAGCTCGACAAATACATCAATAAATCATTCGCCCTGTTCGCGTAATTTCTGCGATGTGATTCACCGATTCTCAATACGGAAAATGGGCTCAAAATACTCTGATTTGTAGAGCGAATGTGACAGAAAATTCAGACACCAGTTGAACGTCAAAGGTAGGAAGGAATGAATTCCCGATCTTCCGAATCGCCCCCGATAGCGGTCGTTTCGGCAGAAAGTTAACGACAGTCTGTTTTCAATCATCGACTCGCACATTCTCACTGTTGCAATATTCTTCATATGGATCACGATTTATCTCTTTTCTTTCTCTTTTTCTATCTGTTACTCTAATTAATTTCGCGAATTGACAACGCGCACTCGTGCCGAAACCACCGCTCCCGGGGATCCGAGGCAAGAATCGGGAATTAACAAGACCACTCCCCTTCGATAGATAAAACATGAAATTATGTGTAACCTATCCATTTTGTGGTAACGGATCCGCAGAACGTGTCAATCTACGTTCTACGATCTACGATGATTCGTTACCTGAATAAATGAACTACTCACTCACCGGTGCGCAGCAGTGCGGTCAGCTACGTGGATTCTGTCGCTGCGCCGACGCCAGGATGCCTCTCCTCGGGCCTCCTCCACCCAGGTTGTCTCCTTCTCCCATGGGACTCCAACACACTCGCGAACACGTAAGAAAAGTACGGTTTTTTTTTCGCGCGACACCGTACACTCCCGTTTACAAAGCCTGTGTGAAGATATTCAGTTCCGTCGGGTTCGCCTCCACTTGGAAGTGTGGCCATCGACAGGAACGGACACTCATACGAACACTTGTTCAACACAGGCTTTGAATAGTCTTTAGTTGGATCGTTTAAGCCCAATCTACAATGTGCTTTCTGCATCTAGAAACATTCTATTTTATGTAAACAAATCGAAACGCTTAACAAACTTGTCGACAATTTACGATTGTACAATGTATAATGCGCAATTTATCAACTTGCCCAAATTTTGTAAACGTATTTATTGGCTGGGAAATAGAATGTTTCTAGACGCAAAGGACACGTTGTAGATTAGCCTTTAAACGGCACTTTAAACGGAACCGCCGCGCGCGGTTGCGATTTCAACAGGCGACTTCTACTCCACGTTATGCGTGATACTCGTC